ATTAGATTTCAAATCTCTGGTATAATGTATCAGTGATGAAAACAACTGGTAAAAGCATATTGTTTTACTGTATGATTCATTGCGATGAACACTGCGCAAGATTGGGCATTCTTCGAAAATTCGTTTTAATGAGATTTTTATTAGATGTCAGCCGTCGCTACCTAAGTGTTCGTTAAATGAGTGACTGTTTCATACAGTGTTCCGTTTACCTCAGTATATGACGAATTTAACACTGGGATACTGCTGACAGCGGCAGTTTTCAGGTTTGACGAAATATAAAATTTGTCTCCTAATCATCTTTGATGCAATATTTTAGGCTAAAGCAGCGTTGCGGTTTCGTCTTCCATTCGTGTACTTCTTCCATTTTTTGAGCTGAATTGACACGAATATGCGCTCCTGCGCCACAAAGACTTGTCGTCTGAGTGTCATGCTTGTGCTGACCTTTGGCTACTTTTTGGTAGAAATTGTTTTTGGCTATCTGACGAATTCGACTGCCCTCGTCGCGGACTCTTTCCACATGTTGTCTGATGTACTGGCATTGTTGATCGCTTTCTTTTGCATGCGGGTAATTTTTGCACCCAGTTTTCGGTTTTCTGAAGCGTGATGTGTTGTGACTCATTCTAGTTCTCGAAGAAAACCTCTTCAAACAAGAACACGTTCGGATGGATCAGGGCTGAAGTCTTGGGTGCCTTGATCAATGCAGTCTTCTTGTTGGCATTGTGTTTTTCAATCTTTGTCGAAGCCCTCAAAAGACTACTAGAGGTATTACTTTTCAGACTTCACAACACTATTCTGGCATCAACATCATCTTAACTTATAGCCGGAGGAAATCGAGCATCCTCTAAAGATCCTGATCGTCGGCGTTGTCGGTTTTGCTGTTAACTTAATCGGTATCTTCATGTTTCATGGTAATGTCTGCTGTCCACTTTTGTGGCGACTGTTCACATACTGGTTCATGTTTGTTGTTTTATAGGTCATGCCACAACACACGGTCATTCTCACGGACGTAAGGCAAATTTTGTTATTACGAACGATGGTGAAACCCATTACACAGAGACAAGCGAAAAGCTCAGCATAATATCTGAAGCACATAACATTTCGGTCATGAACACGTCAAACATGAACGATGACTACAAGTTGCAGAAAGAGCCAAAAGATAATGTGTTGGACTCGAAGCTGCTGTCATCAGCTGGTGAGAATGGTTCATTTAAGTTATTTTGCGCTGTTTTATGATTCTTTCCTATAGCGACTTCGAAATACCTTACCGTGCAAAATACGTTGTAAAACAGCACAAATTTGTTTTGTTGCGTAGCTGTATAGCGGTTTTTCCAATGATAGACCGATACCCACATTACAGTTGTTTAGGCTCATATATCAGGGGTTTTCTTCAATTTAAGGTGGTTGGTGGGTGGTTGACCGCAGGAACTGACTATGTGAAGGCAGAAGGCAATAGGCTAACCTTCGGTGTCCACACAATGAAGTATTGCGGTGTAATAACATTTCTCCAAGCTAATATGTAATATTTTCATTCATATGAATAGAAGGCAGTGTTTATGCTGTTCATAATTTTTAATTTACGATATATTTCATTAAATGTTCGTTGTTTGGCATCTAGCTTTCTACTACCTCTATTGGTTTTCTCTCGTTTGTTACGTTATGTATAAATTGCAGACAAAGTTCCTCAACTGAACATGCATGGCGTGTTTCTTCATATCCTCGGTGATGCCCTTGGGTCAATAATCGTCATTGCTAATGCAGCGGTTTGTTGGCAGATCGACAGTGTTGTTCTCAGGAAGTATCTTGATCCAAGTCTTAGGTATGATTTGATTTTATTAGTTCAGCGAGCTCATACTAACCTTATTTTAGTCTTTGTTTAGCTATTATCATCACCTGTACGACGATTCCTTTATGTAAGTATGCATTCTTGTTAGATCTGTTGCTTTCGTGCACATCTTGTCTGTGTTTCAGTTTTAACATTTTATTCAAAAAAGTTGCTTTATGATTTCGTAACTGATTGGTATGGCGTTAAGGTCGTTAATCGCTATATGTAAATTGATTTTTAAATTGTTCTTCAGCCATTGTGCTATTATAAATTTTGAATATACGATTTGAAGAAATGGAAGTGCCCTGTTATATGCTGTACTTGCCACAGTTGTTTACACTGACTCCATAAGTAAGGTATCTCTTTCTGATGATGTAGGAACGAAAATGCGCATTTTGCCGTAAGTTTCAATAATAATAATGGAGGTGCAAGAGAAATGATATCTTCATCTTTCTTGCTTCTTCATCTTACTGGAGAACTTCGACAATGAGAACAGATTTTCTTATTCTAAGTTATCGTTCGTGTCTCAGAAGAAGTTCCGTTGGAACTGACTACTTTTTCAGTCGTTTGTCGTGTTTGTTGTACATGTGCTAGTTGCAGTAAAACTGCTTGAACCTTCTTATGAGCAGAAATCTTATAGGGTGGATTCGATTATAAGTTTCCGCAAAGATTTTTTATATCTCTACTTAAATGAAAATGTATAAATAGATGAGAACGCAGGAATGTCAGCCGTTTTCAAGGAATTTAAGAAATGAGATCATATACGGAGAATAAATATTTAAATTTTAAAATGAAACAAAAGCAAATCGGTGAATTACGCTCAGCCATTATGTGAGCAAAATGCAGTATTTCTTACTAAATATGCAAGAAAAAATTATGGTGGAAGACCAGGAATTCATACCTAAAGTTGATGTCGAGGAGTGATCAGATATGTTACTTTGTTTAGACTATAGATGGTAGGATATCATTTCAAGTCACATCTTTCGCGATCTTTGTTGTGTGAATGATAACACTGAAATTTGTGAAGTGTAACCTCTGACCCATCCAGCATTATCTTAATTGGAATTTGTTTCGCAAGCGTAAATAGTTCTGACAAACCTTTAACACCACTGCTTCATTGGAAAATGTGACAGGCTTTCGCGACTACGGAAAATTCACTCAGTCATATTTCACTATTTCTTTGAGCACTTGCTTTAATAGTCGTCATTTTTCTCTGACTTAAATGTCGAGGCTGAATGCGCACAGAGCAGTTTGAAGTAGGAAATGTAATCAAGTATTTGCAGCTTACGTGAATCATTCCGCTTGAAGGTGAAGATTTATTGCAATAGGTACGAACATGCGTTGCTCGCGAGGAGCTACCAATCACAGCAAGAGAGGATACTAAACGAGAACAAATCACCGCTTTGTAAAGTTTCCAATGTAACATTGTCAAATTCTTACTGATTTTTTCATTCAGCATTTTGCTGTTCATTAACATTAATGCAGTTCTAATGATCAGGAAGAGAGTTTCGACCGAAATCAATGATATGCCGGTGACTTATTGCTAATCGCGACGTACCCAACAGTTTTAACAACTGGCGACAGCCAACTGTGACAGAAATTTTGTTTCAGATTTAATCTGAAGAAAGCTAGCGATAGCAGTTGTCTGAAGTATAATTTCAATTTGATTTACGGTGGATAATGTTGAGTTGCAGCAAATGAGCTCTTCCAGCTTCTTGATTTTATCATCGATCAAAAGGATGACTTTTCTATAAGGCCTTATCAATGTTTAGGAACAGTGAAGGCTTCATTACGAAAATCTACAGAATCTGGTAATATAGCAGTAATCAAAAATTCACTCATTTGCGACGTATCAAATATCTACTCCATGCAAACCCTGTACCCTGAAAATTGACCATCAAATAAGCAGAATGCTGCTGATCAGGTGAAGCTATCGAAATGACCTGTTATTGACCAGTGATTTAAGTCTTTCGAAAGGACATTAAGCCAACAATGGATTTTAATGCAGCTGAGTACTCAGCTCTTTTGAACATGCTGAAATGAAAACAGCTATTCTGACTGCCTTATTACAAAGAATGGCGTCTACTTAGAGTGAATTCTAAGACCGGTATAGAGAGAAACATTAAAACGAAGTTGAACGAAACAGGTTAAGCCGGACAAAATCAAATACTTTTCATTTAATGGCGATCGCACAGGATCTGCTGATATAGCCTGAATTTATTCGTTTCGTCTCCCCAGAATGAACGACTGTACCGATTGATAATGACTCTGAAAAATCTAAATTTTGTAGTAATCATTTTCGTCAAAGATGAAACGAATAAATTTGTAAGCACAGGGGACTTGTTTCGATTTAAGCTGATTCGTGTCAGATTCGACTTTTTGCCGATATCATTACTTCAGTCTTCGCCTGGTGTAATTTTAGGTTACTGCCATCGCCTTTGTTGCATATATTATTTTATCACCCATAGCATTTCCGCTGGAAACGATTATTTATTACCAGATCGTCAGTAAATTTGTTTCTCTATGATTTGGAAACGTCGAATTTCTCCAAAATTGCTATTGTAAAATAAAGATTTAAAATCTGTCACTGCTATGCATTTTTATAACCCTTTCACAGTTGTGATTGATATTAAGAATCAAAAATAAGGGACCACATCAGTTTCGTTATTTTGCTTTCGTTTTCAGTCAAGGAATCGGCACTAATTCTTCTGCAGACCGTTCCTACGCACATCAACGTTCAGAAAATCAAGTCCAAATTGTTGACATCGGTAACTGGATTATTTTCGAAATTTTTATTTTGCCTTGCAGAGTTTGTTCTCTCGCTATGCTGTACGTTAATTTTTAGGTCGATGGTGTTTTGGCCGTTCACGAGTTCCATATATGGCGCCTGGCCGGCAATAAAATCATAGCCACTGCTCATCTGAGGTGCAGAAATTTAGAAGATTACATGAAAATCGCTGGTCAAGTGAAGCAGTTTTTTCATAATGAAGGCATTCACTCGACGACTATTCAACCGGAATTTTTAGGAGTGGGTTTCTTGTTGATCTTGATTGATTTTAAAACTAAAATTTTTAAATCACTGCCGTAGTAGTTTAATGTAAATTTAAACCTAATAAAGTTTTATTCTATGAGAACTTTCCAGTTTAAAGAATTTTGCCTCAGAAAGGATAAGATCTATATGTTTCTTGCTGTTGTTTCTGGCTCTTCAGTCGATAATCCAATTGATAATATGTCATCATTAGGCTGTGGTGAACTCATAGGAAATTCGAATGTGTCTTCCGCACCGTTCATTCCACGTTTCGTGTTAAATTTAATATCATACGAAAATTTTCAGTGTGGTTCTTGTTTCGCATTTATTTTTTAATTAATCATTATAGGAAACTAATGAACTCATTGCAGCGGACGACAAAGTTGTGACTTCCAAATCTGGCCGTTTGCCGCAAAAGGTTTCGGTTTTTCAGTCGAGAGGTTTTTTGAAAGCAACGCACAACATTAGATATTGTGTCTTACAGGTCATGTCCACCTACATCACCTGAATTGCTCTGATTTAATTCAGTAATGTAGGTTGAATTAACTTGCTGTTTCAGGCGACTTATTGATGAAAGAGGATTTTATTTATAAACACGGCTTGCAGTGTCGTTCAGTGAGACCGGATTTTTATTCAACCTGCAGACCATCTTCATATAAAACGACATGGTTGACAGTTGTAACTCTCAGTGTGTCTATTAAGTCACTCTCCTTGCAAATTAAGTCACTCTCCCTTCAAGTGACAGTTGCAAAATCTGCAGGCATTTATGAACGGATCTTACCGAGAGCTTTGTTAATCGAGATACTGAATGATATCGTAAGCATCAACTGTGTTAAAACGTCTAAGACCTAGATACGTTTTATTAAATGTTTTGAGATGTCAGAAGAACTGCGGTATTATCGATTGACAGCTAATGACAGTGGTGATTATGTCAGTGACACATGGCAACGACAGCAATAAGTGACAACCGTACCAAAAACGTTTGATTGATCTGAATTTGCCATGTCATCGTGGGCGCCAGCACTTAACCGCAGTAACTGCGAGTCAGGCAGTTTCCCGAATAAAGATGCCTGGCAGGTCTAGTAGGAACTTGTTTTTTTAAGACATAACATGTTGCGTGTTTATGAATAAAGGCTTTTCCCTATCGCTAATTCAGTGGTATTTTAATTTTTCCTTTTCAAATTTTGCATCAGTCCTAGGCTTGAAAATAATTAATATTTTACTGTATGTTGTTCGTGATATGTTTAGTTTCTAGTATTATAGCATTAAGCGCACTGTTTAGGTTAAAAGTAGTTCGTACACTACTGAAAAGTGTGTGCTAGAGTGTCCTTCACGGAACGTTTGTGCACCCAGTACTTGCTGTGGTGCTCCAAAGAAAGAAGATTCACTAGGAGATGTAGAAGGCGTTCACACCAACGACCCTCTGATTCTCATGAAGACGTCTTCCATTTCTTCTTTTTCTACGGAGGAGATTGATCTTGACAACCGCCTTGGAAGTCTGACTCAAGCGATCTAGCGCTTCTTTGGCACCAGTGGCTTTTCATCTGGCCATCGCTTTGCCTACATGCCTTCGGAAGAAATATCTGACGCCAACTTTTTCCGAGGTGGCATTGCTTATTGAACGTATGAAACGAGCTGAAAGAAGCGCTTCCACAATTCCTGCTGTATGACCACATATCGAGAAAAAAAACTTCTGATCAAAGTTGGAGCACGTAGTTTTAGGTTTCTTCACCTTTACAGTTTTAGCATCTTATGCTGATTTGCCCATTTTGTG